TCAGCCTCGTTCACCCACTCGCTGTGTCCCAGACAGGCCCAGCGGCAGAGCTGGATGGAGTCTTGGAGAGCTTCTAACCCAACCTGCTCCTTTTACAGACGCAGCGAAGCTCAGAGAGGTTACACCACTCCATTAAGATCACACAGCGACAGAAGCTGAGAGAAAGCCAGCTCCCAGCCCAGACCGTTCAGCACCACGCGGCGATGCCGGCCTGCCTTCTCCCGCGTGGAGCCCTCGGAGCTCGGGGGGGTCACTGTGCGTGAGGCTCTCTCACACAGTGCACTGTGGCTCCAGGCACCCGGAGAAGCCCCTGCCTCACTCTACAACCAGGCCATGACCCTCGCCTCTCGCCCAAAAACCAGCCCCACAGGCAGCCTCCAGGACCACTGGCCCACATCCATCCTCCTACTCACCAGTGCACTCATTCATCCCAGGCACACTCAGCAGCTAAGAGCTGCGGCTCTGGAGTCAAAGTGCCTGGGCTCAAATCCTGTCTTTCCTGGGTGCTTGAGTGAGATACTTGACCTCTCTGAGCCTTGACTTCCTTTTGTTTAAAGTAAGAATAATACAAACACGTAGCTCACAGGGAAGATTAAGTGACGTTAATCATGTCCATTCCTTTGCAGGCCCTTAGCAAAGAGCAAACCCTAATGTGAGCTTTAATTAGTGCAGAGTGACAGCCTAAACAAATCGTGCTGGAGCAGAAATAAGACACAGTTCCTGCCCAAGACATGGGCAAGATGGCTGAGCAAGGAGGACTGGATGATGGCATGTCAGAGAAGCAGCCCCTAACTCCACCTAAGCGGGGAGGGTCAGGGGAGCTTTTCTGAAGGGAACACCTAAAGCTGAGTTTTAAAGGGTGAGATGTTAGCAAGGTGAAGAAAGGACCAGAATGCCAGGGGCGAGACTCAGCAATAGCAGAGGCAAGGAGGCAGGAACGGCAGGCGTGTTTAACGAAGCTCAGAGGCTCGGTGTGGCTGGAGCCACGTATAGAGGCCTGGAGAGATGGCCAGGGGTTGGGTCACACGCCTCCATGTGCTCAGAGGACCCAGGGCTTGAGCCTGGAGGTGACGGGGAGCCTGGGGACCTTCCAGGCTCCGCCTCTCTTCGAGCAGAGAAGGCCTGTGGTCAGACCAGTGTTTCTAATAGATCACTCTCAGCCCTGTGGGATGGATGTTCTCTGCTTGGCTCCCCTTCAGCAAAGATACCCTACCCTTGGTGGCTTTGTTTTGAACCATCGGGGCATCTGCTCTAACCACGCCAATCTCAAAGGCCCTCCCAGCTACAACATTCTGTGAATCAAAAATGCTCCAACAGCCATCATCCATCCATCTCTAGGGCTTATTCGTTTTCAAACCATCAGGCCACTTTAAAAGACAACGCTGAGTGTTTTGAGGGCAAAAATTGCGCCACATTCATCTCTGAATCCCCAGGCACAGAATACACATTTAGCTGATGTTTCTGGGATGAATAAATGCCCACCAAGGATACCAAAACTTCACTCTCTTCCTCTGAGCACCCCCAAGGCCCTTCATGATCACCCACATCAGATCTGTCCACATCCAGGTTAGGACCAGGGCTGCAAAAGGTGTCAGAGTTCGCCCGAGTTTGTCACGCTGTTTGCTGTTTGCATTTCCCATCATAATTCTGAGTGAATTGGGGCTCCTCCTCCATCAGGATAAGCCTCAACCTGCGGTCTGTAAAACCAGGCATGACTGGTGATTCCCAGGGTGCTGACGGGCTTCAAAAACGCTGTGCGTCTGTAATACTCACTTGTCTCTTGGACAGTTTTCCTTCTTAGCCTCTCAGGTTCAATGTGATTTAAAGGGAAAGGGCTTTATACTCAGACTTTGACAGCGTTGAGCAAATCACATAAGCTGCAAAAAGGGGTGATAGAGCCTCCACTTCCGGTTCACCCTAAATCTAAGAAACACACCTGACACCAGTAGAGCCCAACATTGCCAGGATGGTGATGATGTGTGGCCGTCGGTAAACTGTAACCCTACCAGAAAGTTCTCATTGGTACAACGGGGTGAACAATACTTTGTCAGACTGTAAGCATTCACCCATATCAAATACCTCACAAAGAATTTCAAAACGCCAGGAACAATTATTCAAGACCATCCTGGCCGAATGCTGTCTGCGTTGGATTCAAGTGGCTGAGCCTAAGGGTTGAATTGAAATTCACCATAATCCCATGGTTAGTCCCCCACCACCAGCTTCCACAGGCTTCCCTGATAGCTCAGTTGGTAAAGAATCAACCTGCAATGCAGGAGATCCCAGTTCGATTCCTGGGTTGGGAAGATCCCCTAGAGGAAGGAAAGGTTACCCACTCCAGGATTCTGGCCTGGAGAATTCCATGGACTGTACAGTCCATGGGGTCGCAAAGAGTCAGACACCACTGAGCAACTTTCACTTCTTCACTGGCTTCCCTCCCACAGATCAGTCTAAGCCCCTTCAAGCCTGCTAGAAAGGAGCTCCTTAAACTGAGGGTGGGGACTTGCATGGGTGACGGAGAGCACGGGGCAGTCTCAGTCCAGCCAGGCTATGGCCACGCGTGGACCTCAGGTCTGCAGTCTGGGTCCGTGTGAGCTTGTGTTCCCAACCAGCTGTCACCTCGAGGCAGTGATGGTGTGCTGCTCCTGTGTCTCACACGACGGGCACCTCAACTCCCTTGGAGGAGCCTTCAAGACAGAAGAATCAGTCTGCCCAGGGTGTGAGTCAGTCTGGGGTAAGAGCAGGCTGCCTTCTCTGCTTTTCAACCACTTGATCAGATTTACTCACGAAATCCATGCCGAGGGCAGAACTCTTCATAGATTTAACACAAACCCTCCTCCCCCACTCACCCCTACACACAGTTCATTCATCCTCATAACCTGGACTCTCTTTCAAAGCACCTGCTGAAAGGACAAACACAGCAGATGCTTTTGAGACGCTCTGAGGTCAGCCCCACCAGTCCCCCTCCCATCCTGCCCACCCGCCACCCCCAACACCTCTATGTAAAGCCAGGGTCCTAACGCCTCCCTCAACAGGACTCTGGGCGCGTGGGCTCTCACCAATCTGCCTCCGCCACCCCCAACACCTCTATGTAAAGCCAGGGTCCTAACGCCTCCCTGGACAGGACTCTGGGCGCGTAGGCTCTCACCAATCTGCCTCCGCCACCCCCAACACCTCTATGTAAACCCAGGGTCCTAACGCCTCCCTGGACAGGACTCTGGGCGCGCAGGCTCTCACCTATCTGCCTCCTCCTCCACAGCGTGGACCCCTCCACTAACATGGGGAAGAGTCTCATGGGGCGTTCCTATGAACACCAAGGGAATGAGGCCCATCACTGGTGAGCAGGAGGGTCAGGAGACTGGAACCGCTTGGAGTTTAAATGTGGACCACCCACCACACTAGTTGTGTGCTTTTGACCCAGGGAACATCCCCTCTTGGGACTGGCTTCTCTGCTTGTAGGGTGAGATGCCATGAGAGCCTGCAGGGTCTTGTGAGGATCAACTCACGTTGAAATCCAAGTCGGACAGAGCTTCAAGTACACAAGCTAGTATTCCCCGTGCTGTTCCCCGCGCCCACCTGCCCCACCCTCGCGAGAGGTGAAACCTCGCAGCCTGTACTCGGGATGTCAGGACAGAGCTCTTCAAAGACAGCTCTGGGCAAGGCCAGGCATGACCTGCAGGCACTGTTTCCGGGCTGCCCCAACACTCCACACACAGCCCCCCTCTTTCAGCATCACCAAGCTGCCCCCACCACGGTGAGCCCCAGACCTCCTTGCAGCCAAGGAAGGACAGAGGCCGCCAGGTCTCCAGTTCATCCTATGAAAACAGGACCCCATCCCTCCCAGGGAAGCATCAGCCTAGCCGTCAATTCCTGTTCAAAGCACAGGCTCCCAGTCGGTTATAAGGTGTTTTATTAGTGCTGTCCACACTGGACACTGCACAGAGCTGGTGTGAGCCCTGAGAGCACCACCCCCCCCCTGCCCCGGCACGAAGAGGGGTGGGGGCAAGGACACTCAGAGCCACTCAGAGCCAGGGAAGGGAGAGAAGAAGGTGCTGCGCATGGGACTTCAGCGACCTCGGCCACTCAGAGGCAGTGAGAGCGGCTCCCCACTTGTCTGCACTCCGGCATCCCGGAGGGTGCTGAGAGGAGGGGCAGTGTGATGGCACTCTTGGGATGTGAGCCTTTCAGGGGCGGGGTTAGGGTTAGCCTGGACAAGGCCCTGGCCTCAAGATGCTGGCTGCTACTTTTCCTTGGTGGGAGTCTCCGTGAGAAGCTGAGAAAACTCAAGGCTGGGACAGCAGCATCCTTATTGCTTCCTTTGTGGCTAAGACCTTTCCAGCTCAGCCTGGGCAGAGAAAACCAGAGCCAGCCCTCAGCCGGTTCAGACTTCCGAGTTCCAAGTCAGGGCGGACACGTGCTCCCAGCGCCCTCTCTTTAGGTCCTGTGACCCCAGGAAGGCTGCAGCTAAGTGGCCCTGTCCTCACCGAGACGGAGGACCACTGAACGGGCAGCATTCCAAGTGCCCCTGCCAGCGACCTGCCTCCTTTCTCCGACCAGAGTCCCGGCCTGTTAGGCAGAGGGCAGATGCCGCGTTCACTCCCTTTGATGCTGAAGCACCTGCGTGCATGTGGGAGGCCGGCAGCCTAAGGGACGGGGGCACACAAGCAGTCTGGAGACTTCCACAGGGACCCACACCCCGGTCAGGGGAGCGGGGAGAAACGACAGACAGAAAAGCTGGAGGCCACGGACTCTGGCGCTCGGGCAGGGGGCTCCTCTCAGCCACACACGGGCTCACCTGGCTCCAGGGAAGGGACACGGCACCCCCGTGGCCCGTGCCAGGGCAGGGCACAGGGTTCTGTGCCTGTGCCCCGGGCTGGCAAAGGCCAACGCCACACTGGACAAAGGCGGCGTTCCGCGGCTGGCAGCGGCCCCGTCACTGCTCTTGTAAAGGCCCGGAGATGACAAACACCCCGAAGCAGGGCGGAGTGTCCCCGTGCCACACCTTAGCTGTTGTACAAGCGCACCACCCGGCTGATCTCCCGCCTGCAGATCGGGCACCGCCGGGGCTCAGGCAACGCGCGGTAGCACTGGACGCAGGCGCACACGTGCCCACACTCCAGGAAGACGCACGACCGGAAGTTGCTCAGGCACACGACGCAGGCGCCCTTCGGGCCCCCCCGATCCTCCTCGGGACGGTCCTCCTCGGGATACGCGCGCTCCCGGAACTCCTCCTCCGGCCGCCGCCGCTCGCGCCGCCGCCGCAGGTACTGCTTCCGGAGGAGGAAGAAGAGGGTGGCGCAGGCGGCGAAGCCGAAGACCAGGGCCAGGATCTTCCAGAGCCGGACGCTGGACTCCTGCCGCTGCAGCAGGCTGTCGAAGTCCTGGCTGCTCAGGTAGTACTGCATGCCCGGCCCCTTGGGGGGCTGCAGGCGCACGCAGCTGTGGTCCAGGACCAGCTCGCCCACCCCCGTGAGCGGCGCCCCCACCTTCAGCATCTCCTCCGTCTCCTGGATGCCCTTGGGCCGCTCCCCGCTCAGGTAGTGGCCGAGGACGTCCGTGAAGGACGGCGTGGAGGGGTGGAAGTTCTCGTATACCGTCTCCAGGCCCAGGTCCACCGCGTCCAGGGGCTTCAGCACGCGCACGGCCACGCCCGCGCAGTCCTCGTGGGGCACCAGGTCAAAGGGCACCGTGTTGGTCCTCTGGTGAATGATCTTGGAATAGTCGTTCCTGCAGGAATGAGGACGCAAGATAAATCAGAGGACCACAAATACCTCACAGCCAGATGGGGGTGGAGACCACCTCAAGGCCAGGGCAGGATTAAGCGTGAAGTGAGGGCAAGAGAAGAGGACAACAGACATCACGCTCATCCAGAGCCTCAGAAGAGGGAGGCGCAGGTCTTCCGGTTCTCTGGCCACCTCAGTGGACAACCAATGCAATCAGAGACCACCTCTACTCTTCATCTCCCTTTGCCCCTGTCAAAACACATCGATTTTTATGTTAAACTTCTCAAAAAGTTTAAGAACAGAACTAGCGCATGTGGCCCAGCAATCCCACTTCGGAGCCTGTATCCGAAAGAACTGGAATCTGGACCTGGAAGAGAGATCCATGCTCCCTGGCTGCCTGCTTACTCACGGCGGCCAGAGCACAGAAACAACGCCAATGGCCATCACGAATGGACGTAAAAACGCGGTCCATACATGCAACAGGATGCCACTCGGCCTTTGGGAAAAAACAAAAATAAAGAAAAGGGAAATCTCAGCACATGCGACATGGGTGAACCTGGAGGACTTGAAGCAAAGCAAACTGAGGCGGTCACAGGACAGAGACCGCAGGATCCCGTTTGCATGAAGTATCTAAAGTAGCCAAACTCATCGAAACAGAGTAAAACAGAGACTGCCAGGGGCTGCGGGAAGAAGGACACGGGAGCTGATGTTCACCGGGTGTAAGTTTCAGTTCTACAGGACGAGTGAGCGCGAAATCTGCTGTACCACCTGTGCCTGTAGCTAGTGGTTCTGCACTGCGACACTTAAAATGTGTTAAAAGAGGACATGGCAGGTTAAGCATCCTTAATAAAAATTAAAACTGAATTTTTAATTTTAATTTTTAAATTTTAATTATAATTTTTACAATAAAAATTAAGATAAGACTCCAAAGCAGAACCCCCCGAGGATCAGCTGGAAAAATGGTACTGCATGTTACAGCGTGGAGCGCTGAAAATCATCAATCCATGCCATCAACCCTTAGTGTGCACAGCTGCAGACTTCAGGTCCCCTACCCTGGAAATTCTATCTAGGCAGATCTGGAACAGAGGTCAGGAATCTGCATTTGGACAAGACGCCTAGGAGACTGCAGTGGCAGAGGTCCTCAGACCCGGCAAAAGAGTATCAGCGGCACTGAGACACTGGTCTCCGCCCTGTCTCAGGAAGAGCTTGAAGACGTGGAAACAGGGCCAGGACGTCAGCTTTTCAGCTGACCATCTGTGAGGTTTGGGCGCCTGGAGCAAGGATACGCACCAGAGGTGGGTTGTCCGGTTCCACACCATCTTGTGCTCCTGAAGCGTCAGCCGCTGAATCACCCCCTTGCAATTTTCCACAAACTGGCTGTTAAGCGTTTCTTTAACGGATCGAACAGCTCCTAAATGGAAACAAATTATTTTATTTCTGAAGAACTATTCTGTCCTTTCCTTTAATGTTATTTAGATTTTGTTTTTAGTTTGAATTAGTTTAATTAATCAAAGTGATGACAGTGTTATCACCAGCAGTTATGATTTGTGGGCACTCTGCTGAGCAGTTTACATGGATCACATCACTTTAGTGTTATAATCTCCCTGTAAAGTATATTTTGGGCTTCCCTGGTAGCTCAGACAATAAAGAATCTGCCTGCAATGCAGGAGACCTAGAGTTTGATCCCTGAATGGGGAAGATCCCCTGGAGAAGGGAACAGTTACCCACTCCAGGATCCTTGCCTGGAGAACGCCATGGACAGAGGAGCCCGGCGGGCTGCAGAGTCAGACAGCACTGAGGACCTTTCACTTTCAGATCAGCTTCCACTTTCAAAGTGTATTTCACAGATGGGGCGGCGGAGGCTCGAAAGCTTGTGTAATTTCCTCAGAAACATACAGCAGTAACGCAGGTCTTCTGGACCCCAAAATCCAAGTTCTGAACCCCGACCCCAAGGCTACAAAAGGCTTACGTCAGTGTCAGCCAGGAAGATCTTTATCAAACTCTGAAAGCCTGAGTTATTTTTCATTTTACCAGTAAATAGACATACCTTCAATAACAGCATAAGGCACACACTTTCCTGGAGCTTCTGAAAGAATACTCTTTAAGTCTTCACCCAAGTGGATTCTTTTAGCTCCCTAAATGGAAACAACAGATTGGACTGACTGTTGAATACTGACATGCTCAATCAAACAAGTGAAGAAAGAAAAAGACTCTTTTTTTCACATTGAGAAAATAAGGGAACCAGGCAGGAAAGAGACTAAGGAGAGTCAGATTCCAAAGCTGTGTCCCAGAACTTTGACCATATAAACAGGCGTCTTGTTTCTGCCACCTCAAATGGGGCTGCCACTTACACTCTATCTGCAAAAGGAACCAAACATACAGTCCTTTTCATTTTCACTTACTAAGATGAAAATATTAAAGGCACTAATCAATCTGCATACCATAAACTGAATGTAATTTGATCTCTTCTTGACAACACAGAACCATGCATCCGAAGAGTTTATGTGTAAAAGCATGTAAACTAGTGCCCAGTACATGGTAAGGGCTTGGGCAGTGGTTGGTATAATTATCACCAGGCCCCTGTCAGTTCATGCTCTGCATCAGACATTATAATAAAGCACTGCCTTTGCACTATAGGGCGTGGCTTTGTGAACCTGTGCCAAACATTATCCTACTTTTCCTACTTTTGCCTCCTTCCCTCTCATAAATAGGCGGGCACAGTCACCTCTGCCGCTGCCTTCCTCTCCCAGTCCCCAGTTCTCCATTCCTTCCTATTCTGATCGCAATCTGCTGTGCGTGGGAAACAATCAAGCCTGTTACTGCTGCATCAAAAGTAAGGTAAAATTAATAAAACCCCTGAACATTTCCTGAACCAGGCACTGTGCTGGGGGCCAGGGATTCAGGGACGAATGAAGGAAACGGTTCCTGCTTTCAGGTATTTTCATCAACACCATCTTAAGGATACCAGACAAGTAACCTCAAAAGAGGTGGGTAGTACTGGATACGTATTAAGGTCCCTCGGCATTTAAGCTATTGCTACCCAGTGAACAACAGGAGCAAGGTCAATAAGAATTATTACCCAGGTACACCTCGAAGGTAATAAAAACAATGGGCAGTAACAACAACTCACACTCAACTTTATTTACTCGTTTATTATCTGTCCCTCCCTCCACTGGACTGTAAATGAAGGAGGGCTAGGACCCTACACCCTACCAACAGGACACCCTGTTGGTCTTGTTCACTGCTGTCCCCCTAGTGCCGAGATAGTGCCTGACCCATAGCAGGCACCAAATAAATATTTGATGAAGAAATTAGTGAATAAATAAGCACTTAGATATACTACATTCCAGGCACTCTGCTAAGCACTTTAAATGCATAACACCATTTAATGTTCATACCATTCCTCTACAGCTAGACATTATCATCCCCAATTACAGATAAGGAAATTGAGGCTCAGAGAGGTGAAGTAATTTGCTCAAAGTCACGTAAATAGTCAAGTATCCACCACAGGATAGTCTAAAAATTTTTTAGAAGGAAAGGAGATGAAATTCAGTCAGAAAGCCTGTGACTCAATCAAGCTTCAAGGCATCTATTGTGACTTTGGGCAACTTAATTTATTGGAGTCTGTTTCAAAACATGCAAAAGGTGAGGAAAACAATCTCAGGATTTTTACATGAATTAAATGAAACTTAAGGTGTGAAAGAATCCAGACAAGGGGCTGGCACACAGTAGGTGTGCAATAAATACACATTTCCCTCACTATGAGAGATGTAAAAGGGTAAGACACAAACCCTACTCGGAAAGTTTTGTAATCGGATCAAGAAAACAGAGCCTAAGATATTAGGAGTTCCAAGTGTTTTCCCAGGCAGTCACTACTTATTTCATCCTCATTGAGGAATTAATTGGCAAAGCTTTTAAAGTCACCCAAAGATGGATCCTGGAGCACTCACTGCTTCAAAGGATCCCATCTCTAGCCAACCTGATGGCAGTGTGATTTCTGATTCAGAGTCAGAAACTGAAGTATCAATTACAACCACAGCCAATCATTTCAGAAGTAATTTAATTAAGCAGACAAGAAGGCAGCTGGACTCTCACCAGGCTGTGATTCACACCCCAAATTCAACTCCTGGGTAACTAGGTGCACTCCAAAACTCACACACTTGTTTCTAAGCTCTCAACACAAATTATCTGATGATAATGAAGCGTGTCAGGTTGAGGCATCCGTCTTCCAAATAAATGTCAAATTAAGCCCTGCTGTATTATGAAATTTCAGCCAGGACTTCCCTGGTGGTCCAGGTTGAGGCATCCGTCTTCCAAATAAATGTCAAATTAAGCCCTGCTGTATTATGAAATTTCAGCCAGGACTTCCCTGGTGGTCCAGTGGTTAAGAATCCACCTGCCAATGCAGGGGACACAGTTCGATCCCTTATCCAGGAAGATTCCCACATGCCTCGAGGCAACTAAGCCATGTGCTCTAGAGCCTGTGCTCTGCAACTAAAGAAGCCACTGCAATGACAAGCCTGCACACTGGAACTAGAGGGTAGCCCCTGCTGGCCACAACTAGAGAAAGCCTGGCACGGCATCGAAGAAATTAATCTGTTTTAAAAAAGAAATTTCACCCAAAACAAATCCACAAATATTTACTGAGTGTCTACTCTCTGCTAAGCATTGAGTTAGAATCTAGAAGGAAGGAAGGATAAGATCCCATTTCTGACCTAATGAGGATCATCTGTCATAAGGCGCTCACACATTCATAACAGAGCAATGTGGTCAACCAAAAAAAAAAAAAAAAATTCTACACTCTGACTCAAAAGACCTAAATTTAAGCTCCAAACTGACACTGTACAGTCCTTTCCTCCAAGTTTCGATTTCTTGATTGGAAGTCTGGAGGTATTATTTCATCTACCTCAAATTACTGTGAAGCAGAACTAAAACCAAGACAGGAATATGTTGTGTAAATCGTCAGGTGCTGCATTAGGCAAGTGGGCAGTATTTTTTAAATGGCCATACAGTAAACAGGCAGAGTATGCAGAAGCGAGGCGTGAGTGGTCACCTAAAGGGTAAATACGCTCTCCCCTCCCAGGCACCTGCACGCTCGCCTCGGATCCTCCTGGGCTCTGCTCAACTGGACCCTGTTTAAAGGAGCAAGCCTCCCTTTCTCCAGCATTCCCACTTCCTCTCTTCCCTGCACTAGGCTGTCGTTTTTAGCCTCACGTCTCCCAACACCTGACTGACTGATTGACTGTCTGTCTGGCTGAACTAGAATGCACTCTCCACGAGGGCAGAAATTTCTGTCTGTTTCACCCAGGCTCGCGCCTGGAGCATAGCAGGTGTTCAATAAAGGTTTTTTTCGTCAATAAAGTGACGAAGTCAAGGTTTATTCTGAGTAACGAGAGGGACTTGGGAGAAAGGAGGAAGGCAAGAAGCTACCACGGGACCCGCCCCTGATCCTGGCTCCCAGGGCCTGGTTCCCCGCTGGGGTCTTTCCCCGAGGGTGGACCGGCCCACGGCGGCTCGGGGGGCTCACCGCTCCCCCGGGGCGGCGTGCCCGGCTGAGGCCGGGCCGGCTCGGGCACTGACCTTGAGCTCCTGGGCGACCTGGGCCTTCTGCCGGTACACGGAGTACAGGAAGGCGGTGACCACGGAACTGGTGCCCAGGAGGATGACCTGGCTCAGCGAGGGCCGCCCTCCGCTCTCCATGGCTGTGCCGAGCCCTGGCGAAGCCGCCCCGCTCGAGCGACCCACTCGCCCCTCAGCCTCCCGCCACCCGGAACCACACCCCCAGAGACGGCTCCTCCCGGAAGCCAGTGGCCCGCCGAGCGCACAGGACCCGGAACCGGAAGTTGATCGGGGTGGGGCGGGCACAAAAGACCGGAAGGTGCTGTTGCCAGGGTGATGCACCAGCATCAGCTGCTTCTGGGGGAGTCAAGGCTCCAGGAGTTGGGAGTGCAGAATGGTTTGCGGAACCTGAGCGATCTCTCGTCTCTCCGCGACCCGTTCAACTCTGGCCGTAGTTGTATCGCTTGCGGAGCCACGGTTTCACGCCTTCTGCTTTCCTGGGGTTATTATTATTGCAGGCGTTGTTCGATGACTCCGCCATTGGTTTGGGAGGAAAGAACGTCTAGTAAGCACTTAAGGGGAGTATGCATTTAAGCTTCAGGGTCTTGGCTTTTATTCTTCCGTTTTACACGTGAGAAGACAGGCCAGAGAGGTTAGGGGATGTGCTCAAAGTCACACTGCTACTGGAGAGGAATTTACCGGACTGCACAGCTTATTCGGAGAAGGCAATGGTAGCCCACTCCAGTACTCTTGCCTGGAAGATCCCATGTTCGGAGGAGCCTGGTAGGCTGCAGTCCATGGGGTCGCTAAGAGTCGGACACGACTTGAGTGACTTCACTTTACTTTTCACTTTCATGCATTGGAGAAGGAAATTGCAACCCACTCCAGTGTTCTTGCCTGGAGAATCCCAGGGACGGGGGAGCCTGCTGGGCTGCCGTCTATGGGGTCGCCCAGAGTCGGACATGAGAGAAGCGACTTAGTAGCAGCAGCAGCACAGCTTATTACCTCCAAGACAGCAGATTATATCACTAACTTCTTCATCTGCCATCACCACACATAACAACTTACTTTACTAATTTATAATTACAGCTACAACTGTTGTTTTCCAGTAGTCATGTATGGATGTGAGAGTTGGACTATAAAGAAAGCTGAGCGCTGAAGAATTGATGCTTTTGAACTGTGGTGTTGGAGAAGACTCTTGAGAGTCCCTTGGACTGCAAGGAGATCCAACCAGTCCATCCTAAAGGAAATTAGTCCTGAATATTCATTGGAAGGACTGATGCTGAAGCTGGAACTCCAATACTTTGGTCACCTGATGCGAAGAACTGACTCATTTGAAAAGACCCTGATGCTGGGGAAGATTGAAGGCGGGAGGAGAAGGGGACGACAGAGGATGAGATGGTTGGATGGCACCACTGACTCAATGGACCTGAGTTTGAGTAAACTCTAGGAGTTGGTGATGGACAGGGAGGCCTGGCACACTGCAGTCCATCGTGTCGCAAAGAGTCGGACACGACTGAGTGACTGAACTGAACTGAATGGTGACAAAAAGTTTTACCAACATCAAACCATTTAATCCTCACTGCACAGTTACAGAGCAGATTTCAAAATGTTTTCTGATCTATACAGCAGCAATTCAATATGTTTGCAGATTATACTCCACATAGGTTATTACAAGATAATGCCTATAATTCCCTGTGCTATACAGTATATCCTTGTTGCTTATCTATTTTGTATTTGGTGCTTTGTATCAGTTAATCACATAACCCCTATTTTATCTCACCCGACATCCCTCTCCCCTTTGGTAACCACAAGTGTATTTTCTACATCTCTGAATCTGTTTCTGTTTTGCACGTACATTTGATTTGTGTTGTTTTTAGATTCCACATACAAATGATATCTTACAGAATTTGCCTTTCCCTGTCTGACTCATTTCACTAAGCGTAATATTCTCTATGTCCATCCAAGTGGCTGCAAATGGCAGCGTTTCAGCCTTTTTTTAATGACTGAGTGAAATATCACAGCTTCTTAATCCAGGCATCTGTTGCTAGGCACTCGGATTGCTTCCATGTCTTGACTATTGTAAATATTGCTGCTATGAACATTGAGGTGTATTTATCTTTTCAAATTAGTGTTTTGGTTTTTTCCAAATATATACCCAGGAGTGGAATTGCTGGATAACTTTATTTTTAATTTTTTGAGGAGGCTGCAAACTATTTTCCACAGTGACCATACCAATTTACATTCCCACCAACAGTGTACAAGAGTTCCCTTTTCTCCACATTTTCTCCAACATTTGTTATTTGTAGACTTTTTGATGATACTCATTCTGACAGGTGTGAGGTGATATGATTGTTGTTTTGATTTTCATTTCTCTAATAATTAGTGGTGTGGAGCATCTTTTCATGTGCCTGTTAGCCATCTGTATGTCTTCTTTGGAAAAATGGCTATACAAGTCTTCTGCCCATTTTTTGATTAGGTAGTTGTTGTTGATGATATTGTATATTGATATTGTTATATGAACTGTTTGTATATTTTAGATATCAACCTCTTGTCAGTCATATCATTTAAAAATAGTTTCTCCCATTCCATAGATTGTCTTTTTATTTTGTCAATGGTTTTCTTTGCTGTGCACAAGTTTAAAGTTTAATTAGGCCCCAATTGTTAATTTGGGGGTTTATTTCTGTTGCCTTAGGAGACTTGTCCAAGAAAATAGCGCCACACTATGTCAGTGAATGTCCTGTCAGTGTTCCCGTCTAAGAGTTTTGATTCTCATTCTTTTTTTCCCCATTTTTTAAAATTTATTTTTTTTGTTGTTGAAGGATAATTGCTTTAAAAATTTTGTTGTTTTCTGTCAAACCTCGACATGAATCTACCATAGGTATACATATATCCCTGCCCTTTTGAACCTCCCTCCCATCTCCAGCCTCACCCCACCCCTCTAGATTGATCCAGGTTCTCATTCTTATGCTTAGGTCTTTAAACCATTTGAGTGGATGTTTGCATATGGTGTGGCTTGCGTGCGTGCTCAGTTGCTCAGTCAAGTCCTACTCTTTTGTGACCCTATGGGCTGTAGCTGGCCAGGTGGAGAAGGGAGTGTCCAACACCAGATTCCTTTTTTTAAACTAAATGGTAGTTGATTTACAGTGTTTCCGGTGTACAGCAGAGTGATTCAGTTATATGTATGTATCCACATGTGTTCAGTTATACGAATTTATCTATTCAGTTACACGTATATCGGTTCTTTTTCAGATTCTTTTACATTATAGGTTATTACAAGATGTTGAATGTAGTTCCCAGTGCTAGGTCCTTCTCATTTATCTATTTTATGTAGAATAGTGTGTATCTGTTAATCCCTCTTCCTAATTTCTCTCTCCCCCACCTTTCCCCTTTGCTAACCATAAGTTTGTGCTCTATGAAAGATTGTCATTCTTAAAGCAGGTTGGTCTTAAATAGCTCTGCCTTTTTTTTCTTTCTGCCAAAGGCTGAAATCCTTCCGTAGCCGGGCTGAACTACTGCGACATTTTGAAATTCCATCATGTGGACCTTGTTAGGAGTGATGGACGACGGGCACTTTCAGCCGCAGCCAGATGTCCCGAGGGCGCCATTCTCAGCTCAGCGTGACTGTCCTCACTGAATCACAAGTTAAAGTGGAGCCTCTGACTTAGAGAAAGTGAGGCGAGTTCCCAAGAGGAAAGTGAGGCACCCGGCAGAGAACCTAGGAGGAGCAACTGGAAGGAGAGGGGTTCACTAAGGACAGTGCCACCGCTGGAAGCAGCTCACAAAATTCCTGAGTTCCCCATGAGTCCCCGGGGCAATGCCCTCTTAGGCACTCCATTCCAGTAAGACACTTGGCAGGGTCCAGGCACCAGACAGATTTGGAAGATTAGGCCTCCTGTGCTAATGCTGCCACACAGATGTGCCGAAGGAAATGTTTAAAAGGTTAACAATCACAGCAGGTCCTCACTCGCTTTCCTTACAGAGCTTTCCCATGGGAGAGCCCTTAACTTAATCATTATTAGGAATTATCAAGTGTCAGCATACTTTTAATGAGCATTTAACCCATGGAGTGTACTCCCCCAGACACAGCGGAATGCAGGGGTACGATGCAAAATATGCCCCCTGACCTCAGGCAGAGTGTCGGGGAGACCTTTTTCTTTTTATAATGAGGTAAACGCCATCGCATCCCCAGGTGGCCACACAGCTGTTTTCTGTCACTGTGAGTCTGCACCTTCTAAAAGTGCATATAAATAGGATCATGTGGTATGCACTCTCTCTTCTCTGGCTTCTTTCCTCAGAATAATTATTTTGACATTTATCCATATTACTGAGTGTCAATAGCAGTTTATGCCTGTTTTCTTGCTGAATAATGTTCCATTGTGTAAATACACCACAGTCTGTTTACTCGGTAACCTGTTGACGAACATTTGAGTTGTTTCCAGTTTTAACTGTTACCAATAAAGCTGCTCTGAACACGTATGTCTAAGTCTTTGTGCAGACGGATGCTTTTGTTTCTCTTGGGTAAATTCCTCGGACAGGGATGGCTGGGTCATACGTCAGATATATGTTTAACTTCTTAAGAAACTACCCAGAAGTTCCCAAAAACAGTTGTACCATTTTACATTCCCACCAGCAATGGGTGAGAATCCCAAAGCTTTCACATCCTCAACAATATCTGATATACTCAGCCTTTTGATTTTAAACATCCTGATACAGTAGTCCCCAACCTTTTTGGCACCAGGGACCAGTTTCGTGGAAAACAATTTTTCCACAGACCCAGGAGGGAGGATGGTTTCAGGATGATTCAAATGCATTACATTTATTGTGCACTTTATTTCTATTATTATTACAGTCCATGGAATTCTCCAGGCCAGAATACTGGAGTGAGTAGCCATTCCCTTTGCCGGAGGATCATCCCAACCCAGGGATCAAACCCACATCTCAACATTGTGGGCAGATTCTTTACCAGCTGAGCCACCAGGGAAACCCAAGAATACTGGAGTGGGTAGCCTATCCCTTCTCCAGCGGATATTCCCAATCCAGGAATTGAACTGGCGTCTCCTGCATTGTAGGTGGATTCTTTACCAACTGAGCTATCAGGGAAGCCCATTATTATGTACAAAAAAGATCTTCATGACCCA